CTGAAGGCTTTGCCTTTACAACGGTTCATTTGTCAGAGAAGGTACAGAGTCTCACCAAGGAGACCTCTAACTTCAAACAACGATTCATTATCGATACTGGAAGCAGCGATCACATCTGCAATGATCGCAGCAAGTTCCAAATTCTACACGACACTGCTCCTGCTACAATTAATACTGGAGCCGGACCTATTACTGCTAAGCAGGTAGGTACCATTCAGATCACTGTCGTCACGTCAGAAGGTGTACTCAACAAGGTCTCCTTCACTAACGTGCTATACGCTCCGGACATGTTTGTATCAGTCCTCTCCCACTCTAAACTACGAGCGAAAAATCTCTATTACCACGGCTGGGACAGCAAGCTGTACCTCATGCCATCACAACAAGAGATCGCCTTCACACCTGAGATCGACAAGATCCCTACGCTCCTCCTCGCCAACACAGAGCTTGAGGCAGCTCGCGCGTTTGCCTTTGCAACCGCCGCAACCACCAACCCAACAGGTGTACTCGCTCCCTATCGCGAGGATACTCTCCAAGAGCTCCATGAGCTGTTTGGCCATGCCGACCCCAAAGCTCTTAAGCTTCTTGTCGCCAACACCACCGTCCTACGTCTCACTACAACACAGGCATTCTCATGCGAGGCCTGCATGTTATCCAAATCGAAGAAGCAGATCTCACGACGGTCTCCAGCCCGCTCAACCACGTTCCTCCATCGTATTCATATCGATATCGTTGGACCAGTGACGCCCGAAGGTGTCAACGGTGAGCGCTACTGGATACTGTACACCGACGACTACTCACGATACCGCTGGATTGATTTCACAGACTGCAAAGCAGCAATCACATCTAAGCTTATACAACACCTGGACAAGATGGAAACTCAACACCACGTTCGAGTGTCGATCGTTCACATGGACAACGACAACATGTTCCTCAACCAGACGACTGGGCGTTACTTCAAGGACAAAGGCATCATCTCCGAGCCTTCCACCGCCTATACACCCCACCAGAATGGAGTCGCTGAAGCCAGCAACTACGTAGTGGAGGTCCGAGCACGCACAATGATTTTGGCGGCGCCTCACATATCTAAGTCATACTGGCCATACGCAGCCCAGTACTCTATCGACGTCCTTAACCATAGCGTCAGCTCTGCTGTACTAGACAGTAAGACACCAAGACAGCTGCTATTTGAGCACATGAAGGTTGCAAACCCTGTGCCTAACCTATGCTCCTTCCGCACCTTCGGAGAAGCTGGGTACGTCCATCAACCAGTACAGCGACGAGTTCAGAGCGCCAAGTTCGAACCACAATCGGTCAAGATGTACTTCGTCGGTCGAGAAGGATCACGGATCTACCTTATGTGGGATCCAGTCACACAGTCCATACACCGTACGAGCAGTGTTGCTTGGCCTAAACACGACGTCAAAGCTGTAGTCCAAGAAGACACAGCTACAACCAAACCGGATCAATGCTTCTATATCCAAGATCCACCGCCAGCACTAGATCCCTCTTCATTTCCACACCATGAAGTCTCTCTCCCGGAGCAAGGTAGTGGTTATGTATTTGACGGACTAGAGGCTGAAGCGCAGTCTAGCTTTGACTTTGACGCGGACATTGACAACTATAACAGTCTTACCGAGGTTGCTAATGCTCGAGCAACACCTCAGCGTCGGGATACATCCCAAAACGCTCCACGTCACGACGAGATCAGTGCATCATTTGATGCCCGTAACATACTCGATGGACGTCGTCGCATCACTCGACCGCCCAACCGATACGCGGCAGTCTCTCGTTGCTTTGCTACGGCAATTACAGAGGCAACAACAACAGACTTACCGCCTGAGCCTGCCACACGCAAGGCAGCACGCCTTCATCCATACAGCAAGCAATTGATCGCTGCTGAAGATGAAGAGCTTGTATCACTCGACCAGAATGGCACATGGGAGACCACAACCACGATCCCTCCCGACGTATACGCCCTGCCTACTAAGTGGGTATACAAATACAAAGTCAAGGACGATGGACAACTCGAGCGCTTCAAGGCTCGACTGGTTGTCTGTGGCAATAGGCAGGAGACCGACTTCTGGCGCGAAACCTACGTTGCAGTAGCTCGCGCAACTACACTGAAAGTCCTTCTCGCCCTTGTCGCAACCGAAGACTTAGAATGCGAGCAAGCAGACGTTGTTACCGCCTTTCTCAACGGTAAACTAGACAAAGACGAAGTAGTCTATGTCCGCCTGCCAGACGGACGCAAAGCCAAGCTTATCAAAGCTTTGTACGGCCTGCGCCGCTCACCACGCCTCTGGTACAATGAGCTATCGAGCTATCTCAAGGGTATCGGCTTAGATCCTTTAGAGTCAGATCCATGTGTCTTCAAACACCTAGACGGCAGTCTTATCCTTGCGTATGTTGATGATATCATCTTCATCACAGCTACGAAGCAACGCATGAAGGAGATCAAAGAGGCTGTATACAAGAAGTACAAGTGTCGAGATCTAGGACCAATCTCTCACTACCTAGGTCTCCGGATCCGACGCTCACGACCATCCCGACTCATCGAGATCTCAATGGAGTCATATGTCGACAAGCTTGTAGAGGAGTATAGTCGTCAACACGCGCTCCCTCGCTACACGCCGCTTGATACCTCAGTACTCAAGTTGAAGCTGCGATCTCCAACTGATCTTGCAACTCAACAACAAATTCAGAACTACCAAAAGGTTATTGGCAAGCTGCTGTATCCAGCAACCCAACTGCGAGCCGATATATCCTTCCACGTCGCCTATCTCGCCCGCGCTATGAGCAATCCAACTCAACAACACTACGAGTACGCAATCCAGATCATCGACTATCTCAAGACCTTCAAATCTCTTGTAATGAGCTATCGAGCTACATCTCCACACGCACGCATGCCTATCACCATGTATGCGACATCATACGATGACAACAAGAACAACACTAATCCTACGCTACACCTACATGGCTACAGCGACGCCTCATTTGCTGACGGCGAGGACCGCAAATCAACCTCCGGATACTTGTTCAAACTTGCTGGAGGTACTATCTGTCACAAGTCAGTCAAGCAAAAGCTAGTTACAACCTCAACAACTGAAGCTGAGTACGTTGCTCTTACCTACGCCGCTAAGGAGGCTACCTGGCTGTACCGTCTGCTACACCAGCTCGGTTACAACGGTACAGATACCCATCCTATCCTTATCTACGGAGACAACGCTCCATCTATACAGCTACTACACTCAGAGGGTCATCACGAGCGTACAAAGCACGTCGATATCTACTACCATTACATCAAGGATCAAGTCCGCGACGGCAACCTCTACGTAGAGCATGTACGAACTCATGAGATGGCTGCTGACGGCCTCACGAAACCTCTTGAACGACAAGCCCACAGCAGGTATCTACAACAGCTAGGCCTTACGACTCCAACTATCGAAACAAAGGACTACAACAAAGGTGGATAGAGCAGGACTATCAGGTCCTGTGGGGGTGTGTCGAGACGCGGTGAGAGCCTTCACTAGTATTCACGGTGAATCAGGCTTCCCGTGCTCTGATTGGCCAGGCACTGATTAGTCAGCTGCTCCGTGCGCGCACCATAGATATTCTCCCTTCTCCCGTAGCTCCAATACAACAAGTTCACGCACGTTTTCTCCACCTTCATCAGTTTGCCTAAATTAGCCCATTCTAGAGTACTAAATCTCCCGCCCCCAGATTCTGAGAGCTCGTATCATCCAGTGACATACTGTCTCAGTAGTAGTGGATGTAAGACCCAACATAGAACCATGCAAGGGCGTCTGTAAAGCTGGGGCTCGTATTCGATTGCACTACAGTAGCCCAACCTTCTAACATCCCCCGCAAAGCTACGCATGAAGTTCTATTACTGTATCCTTAGCGTCCCAGATCCGACATAGAAGCATGCAAGAACCTCTGCAAAGCTAAGAGCCGTATCCGATCCGATTGAAGTAGCCGGATCCTTTCGGAACCCTTACTTGGAAAGCCATGATCCATACTAGACTCGATTGCTGCCTTCTAATCCTCTCGGATCCAACATAGAACCATGCAAGAGCCACTGCAAAGCCACGACTCATGTTAGACTCGATTTCCACACCCTGACCTTCTCAAAGCCTCTACAAAACTACAGCTCGTATTCGGTTCGATTGCTGTAGCCTAACTGTCCTACAGCTTATGCATAGTCACTGCTCTGCTTATATTCGATTCGCTTGTTCAACCTCTCAGAACCTGTCTTTCTGCCACTCTGAAACGTCTGCTTACCAGCTCAATATCTCCGTAGGATTCCGGATACCAAGGTATCTAGTCAAGGTACGTCATTTTGCCATGTTGAAGCGTCTACTTACTATGTCACCTTCACCGTATGATTTCATGTATCCCTGTACCTAATGAAGTTGCGTAACTGAGCTCGGTGCTCTCATACACGTACGTATCACTTGCATTGCATATGGCTCGACTATTACGCCGCGATTCTGCCAATCTTGCATATTCGTATACCCCACGCGTGTCCGTTACATTATTGTTGTATGAATCTTGATTGCTTCAAAGTTGATAGTGTAGCGCCGAAATCTCTCTAGGCAATGTAGAAATGATAGGTGAAAGTCTAGGCGATGTGGTAGTAATGAGATAGCACAGCTTTCAGAGTGCTACCTTGACATTTTTCTCTCGTAATGTTCGGATCTGACGGAAAGACTTGTACTGCATGGAAGCCCAGCTGAGACCATCATGAGGAAACCCATGCAAGCTTCCACATCACACTTTGACTGAAAGACAACGCTGAATGTTCACTGAATAAAAAAAATTCGCTCAGTGCTGTGTAATTGCTCAAGAAATGGACCCCCAACACCCCCAATACGGCCAATGAACAGCAAGAATTCCCGTGCCGAACGCTACCTGCAAAGGCTCATAATTCTGTAACTTAATAATTTTGAATGCTCAAGACCAAATTCTCATAAAACCCGTGAAAACCATTCGATGAAACATCAACTATCAAAAAACTCCTTGTTCTTATCCATCAGCCCATCCAACTCCTCCATGCTCATCTCTCCTAATCCCTTCTTGAGATGCAAGCTATGCCACTGCCTCTTATACCTCTCCACATACCCCTTACTCATCTCCCTCCACGACTCGCCTCCCAACCCCACGAGTTTCTCATCATCCTTCGCAAGCACTTTGGTAGACCCGCGCAAGCTCGTTTCTATAATCTTGACGCGCTCAACACTGCCAAACGCTGCCACTACTATTCTAACCATCATTGCAATTTCCGATTGGGGGATTCCCTTGACGTCAATCGTGAGTTCGAGGAGATGTACTTCCTTCACAAGCGCTCGTAACTGGCATCTCCAAAATCGTGGTAGACCGGGTTGTGTGTAGTTTTGATGTGGGGGTTCCAAAAGTTCGTATAGTTCATCTGGTGATAACCATCTCATGCAATGCAGCAGTGCACTGTGCCCGAAGTGAAAAGCGAGACGTCGGATGTGGCGGCGGTTGCCGGGTCCGCATTGCCAGAGGAAGTTTGTGGTTCCTGTGAGGCCAAAGTGAAAGTTTGTGCGGTGGAAGATGTAAGGTAGCATTGTAGCGGTGATGGGTGGGGATATCCGAAACATGCCGGAGAGACTGATGGGTGGTTCGGCTGACCCAGATGTTCGGGAGAGTGCACCGTGGCACAAATCATAGTCCCGTGTTAGTCCGGTGGCATACATGAGTATCATCTCTTGAAGCTCTGGAGGCAACCGGAGAAAAGGCTGGAACAAGGGCTGAATTGAGACGGTGTCATTGGGAGATGGCAGCGGTCCGAGGGCTTGAGACCGTTTGCCGAAGATGTAGTCCGCCGTGTGGAGCATCGAGACTCTGGCCGGTAAGTTTGTAAAGTAGAGTTTATTGAAGTAGTCGCGTGCGGAGACCCAGCCGGAACCACAGCGAATGACAAGTTGGTAGTAGTTGTTTGGCGGGACAGATTTGGATTGGGGTGGTGGCCAGCTTCCGTCGTCCTCGACTGGGCTTGAGGTGTCTTTTGGATACTCCGTAAGGTCAAGTTTATGGGTGGAAATATCGATATTTTCGCTCTTCGTACGCCTTTTGGTTCCTCTTTCTTTGGTTTCACCATCCACCATCTGGGGCCCAAAAAGTTTAATGGAAACCATCTTCCTACTATCCGTAAATCCCGAGTCGGTAAGCACGCAGTGCACAACTTTACCCAGCACAAGTTCGTCCCGGCTTTCAGGATCGGGAGGAAGCAGACTTATCTTTCCCTGAAAATACGTGCTCGAGTCGTGGTCCAAAGACCATCGTTTCAGATGTTCCAAGAAGACCCTTCGCTGCTGTTTCTGGACCCAAAGCCGATTCGAGAGGTTTCTAGGGGATCTCGGAGGAGTTAAGAGACGCGTTGTGGAAGGCTTGGGGGTCGGCGGTCGACTCGCGTCGTACGAGGCCATAGCCGGTGTTTCGGGTTCACCGGTGTCGACGGTGCTGCGTGCGCGAGTCATACTGGTATCGGGGCTGGCACCAGTAGTTCAAGTCAGTCGACTTACTTTTCCAACACCTGAGATAGTTCCGGGCTTCCCGAGCGCTCTTGAAGGGTCCGGTGGTGAAATTTGTGTTATGAGTTGGACCCTTTCCCCAGAGACAGTTCGAAGACAGATTGTTTCTACAGACACAACACACCGCTACTTTTGCAGCACAGTTTCCCACGTGTCGTTTTCCTCCTGCCAATGAAAGTGTTCTTCTAGGAAAGATTGAAAACTTTAAACAGAGCGACGCGGAGATCGAAATGGTGGCGTTCAGTCTTACAAGACAAACATGTACGGTGTGAAGCTTAACGATGCGTGATGAGGAGATGATAGTGAAAGTAACATGAAAACAACCGGATCTGATTAATGTAAGTGAACTGTTCAAGTGTAAAGATGTGATTGGATTGAGCTATCGAACTGGCGATGGATGAGTATATTGTGATAGTTTGGTGTCATGATGCATCATGACAAACGTGATGCGGAGGTGCAGATCATCTGGAACGCTAGCGCTAAAACAAACAGCTGCGCTAGCCTGTTATGTGCTGGCATAGGAGACGGATAGTTTAGATCACAGCTCACGATCATCAGTGGATTGAACAGAGGTTGCAGTAATAAAAAAATCCATTTCGAATATGGCGATCATGCCGGGTATCGTATCGAAAAATGCACAACCTAATGCCGTCCTATCATCTACCATGAGCCATCAAGCTCTTCCTTCTAGCCAGCCGGCAGCCTTCTCTAGAAGCCCATTGAAGCTCTTGACATTAGCCAGAAGCCCACCGCCACGCGAGCCGACATCCTTGCCTACCGTCTCCAGTAGCATGCTTAGCGGGATTTCCGGACCCTCGTTTTCTCTTCCTTCCTTGCGCGCTTGCTCGCGGCCGTTCTTGATCGCAGCCTCAATATCAAACATATTGTCACTAAGCGTATTCCTAGCCTCTACTTTGGCCTTCTCAGCTTCGAAGTGAGCCTGTATATAGTCCTGCTCAATTGCGATCTCCTCTCGGTTGTTCTGGAGACCAAGTATTTCCTTGCGTAGTTCAGCGTTATCGCGCTTGAACAGTTTTGTCTTCTTAAAATTGGTACTTAAGACGTCATTAGCGTCCTGCAAGTCCAAGAGCTTCTCATTCAAACTCTCCTTGAAGGACAGGGAAAGGTTGATCTCGCTTCGCAGTTCCTTGCGTCGGTCAGAGTTTTGTGAGGTCTGCAGGGTCTCAGCCATACGATTGAGGCGATGATCGATAGTTTCTTCCAAGATTGTGCGCGTAGTATCTGCAACTGTGATACCTCGTACTGCGGACCCCTTGATGCGCATGACGGAGATGGCATGTTTCGGCCCTAAGAACTTTTGACGTTTGCGAGGTGGTAGCTTCTCTGCCAAAGGTTTATTTCGCGGCACTTGTTTCGGAGAGCGCCGTTTCGTCGCAGGCCTTGGTATAATCTCCGTCTCATCTGCAGAGGGCGCCTCGTCCTCGGGTAACTCTTCTTGTACAGTAGACGTTTCTTCTACTTCTTCTTCCCGGTTTAAAGGTTCTGCAGGTTTTGCAGGTTTTTTCAGTGTTTTCTCGCGCTCAGGGGAAGGCTCGTCTACGGCCTCGCCACCTACTGCTGCCATTGGCTCGCTCCGCTTATTCGGTTTTGGCTTGAGTATGACTGGAGTTGCTTGAGGTTCGCTTTCCGTTGCTGGGGCTTCTTTTCTAAGTCGACCGCGTTGGTTCGGCTGTGGCGTAGGCTCGTTCTCTTCTACTTGAGGCTCAACTTCTAGTGGTGTGGCTTCTTTACGAGGTCTACCGCGTTTGGTTGGTTGTGGTGTGGGCTCATTATCTTCTTGTTGAAGTTCGACTTCTGGCGGTGTGGCTTCTTTACGAGGTCTACCGCGCTTCGCTCGTCGTGATACAGTGACAGGCTCCTTTTCGCCTACTTGAGTTTTCGCTTCCTGGCTTACGATTGGTGTTTGTTGCTTCGGCGATGAGAGCTCGTCCATGTCCATCTGCGTGTCTTCTTGTACCATGGGCTGTGGTCGTGGTTCACTTCCGACCACCCGTGGTGTAGCCTCATTGGGTTGTGGTGACAGTTCATCTTCGCTCTCGTCATCCGCTGGGGCAACAATCGGGGTAGCCAAATTGGTTCCGGATCGGGAAACGGAGGATACTCTCGAGCGGCCATTCACAGATAGACTCGGTGTTGCAGGAACGGGATCTGTCGACTTTGATCGTCTTGTTGTCGATTTTCGTGATGCCACTGACAGTGCTTCTACTCGGTCGGGAATGGGCGTCTGCTGCGGCGTATTACCAGGAAATATGCGCTTTTGTGCTAATGCTTGTGGAGGTGTGCGCTTCATCACCGTCGACTTGGCGAAGACCGTCTCGCGTACAGTACTGGCGCCTTCGTTCAAGATAGACAGCTCATCTGGCACCTTGTCTCGCTCTTCGCGTATGGGCGAAACTGTGCCAACCATTCTCCTACTCTTCTCGATGAAGCGCACAACTTCCTCCCGGTCTGGACTCAGCTCATCCTCGTCTGTATTATCTGCCCCTGGCTCCGCCTGCGATGAACCCCGCTTCCTCTTACCCAGATGCGGGGTCACATTCTCCTCCCGCGGTGTGCTCTTGCGCTTTACGGAACTGCTACGTTGGATTGACGCGCTCCGGTGTCGCTGTACTGAGCCATTCGTGGCACGTGGTGTTCTTTGGACTGGTGTTCGACGCGACGATAGTTGAGGTGGAAGGGAGGCTTGTTTGGCAGGACGTGCCGCAAGAGCGCCAAAGTTGAATCCAAAAGATGCTTGCACTGAGGAGGGTCTGTAGAAGTCAGCATCGCCATATATGCGTCAGCCTAAGATGGTCATACCCAGCACCGCGCACGCGCTGTTGTCGATGTTCGCGGCGATCTGCAGCCGATTAGTATTCAAACACACCAAAAACATTCGGGTTGAAGTCTTACCAACTGGCGCCATAACGATGACTATCCTAACAACTGAGGTTCAAGTGTATTGCTGTCGCGTCATCGAGTTGAGACAGTGTTGTGAGTGCAATGTCAACGCGCTAGTCCCAAAAGCTCCGACTGCCGAACTACAGTTCACCATCCCCGCAACATTCCCGCTCACGCTCCAAGAGAGAAAAAAAAGCGACCGAATCACGCGAATTCGAACATGGGCTGGATATGGAGCAGCGACAACAGTGCGAACGGGCAAGACCAGCTTGACCCCTCTCTGCGCGACTTCCTCAAGAAAGAAGCCCCCACGGGCCCAAAACCTACATTACCGTCTGCGCCCAAAGAAAAGCCCGCCGCACCACCGACATCAACGCAATCGCAACCGCAGACCCCAGCACAACCAGAGAAACCATTCGTACCTCCACAATCTCAATTCCAAGACGGCAGATATGCCGACCTCTGGAAAAACTACACCCCGCAAGACATCCTCAACAACCGCGGAAAGTCAGAGCAAGACCGATTACGAGACCTCGTAGACGCCTACAATGACCGGAAAGCCTCAATCGGGCGTGTAGCAATGGAGAACTGCGCGCTAGAGTACATGGAGCAATTTGAGTGCTTCAGACATCCGACAACATGGTGGTCCAAAGGGACCATGTGCATCGCCGAGTCGCGCAAGTTCAACCGCTGCTACGGCATACAATCCAAGTTCCTCAAGGCGCTGGGATACATGACTATGGATGCGCGGACACCAGAGGAAGACGAGCGGATACAAATGCACGCAGACAAGCTCTACCAGCAAATGCTGCAGCAAGAGGCAGAGATAGAAAAGGCCAAAGCTGAAGGACGGCCCGAGCCCAAGTTCGAAAGTGTCCTGTCCAAACGCAACGTCGCGCAAGCTATGGGAGGTGTTGCTTCATCGACTACTGTTCCTGTAGCAGAGACTAGCAAGTCGAGCGTTTCAGACGACAACGACATTTGGAGTCAGATCAGGCCAGAGGCGCGGAAAGAGTACGAGAAGAAGCTAGCGAAGATGTCGCCGGAAGAGCGCGAGATTGAGAGGATGGCGGTAGAAGGCGAGATCAAGGCACAGACCGGCGTCACGAAGCAACTAGAGCAGACATTCATCGAGGAACGCGTTGCTCGGATGAAGAGGAGAGAGGCCGGTCAGGCAACTTTTGGTGATACGATTAAGACTTTGTGGGGCTGGGGCTAGAGGTCAACGAATATACATGTACGTCATGTGTTGAATATGTGTAGGAGTGTCCTTTGCGCTGATCATCTCACTCCATCTTTGCCATTTTCAACCTGACCATAAGGGGCTTCTTGTGCCAGAGTGTAAACATTGGCTGGTCAAGCCATTCGCTGTTCTTCTCAGCCAAGTCCACTCTCACTGAATCTTGCGCCGGTCATATAATAAGCCCGTTATTACGACTTGAGAACATTGATGAAGTTTTCGACTGGCAATGTTGACATTTTTCACAATGCAGTGAACATGGCAATAAACATCGTGTTGACACTCTCCCTAGAATTTCACACTAAGTTACCACAGTATCTCCTTCACAATGTCACACGAAATCAATACATATTACTTCTCATTTGTTACCACAAAACAGCAGATCCATCTACCAACCGATTTCCGAGCACACAAGGCAGTCACAGTTCTCAACTCAGGCTTCAACAGCACCGCCGAAACAACCATGTCTAACTCTAACTCCATGGTGTTCTTTCCAACCACCCCTTTCGACATCGCTTTGGTAGTGATCTTCGTGTTTGTTCATATTTCCATCATTCGCTTGGCGAATGAGCATGACTACGAGTTTGGAGTACACATAGCCATCGATCATTCCTTGTATTACGAAAGAACCATTGCTTTGTTGGACGAGTATCTTCCAGCGTATTCCGACGATTCGCCGCCGGCCTACACGGAGACTCCGGATGAGCCTCCAGCGTACTCCGATGTCATCGGGATTGATGTAGCAGTCTTCGCAGTTGAAACGGAAGACGATGAGGATGGCACTTTGTGAGTACGTTGTCCTTGCGCTGTTTCATACTCCTAAGTTTTTGGGCGTGAAACACGATATTTCTAGATTGTGTCATGTTATTGGAGTTGTTTGTCGTTCTTAGTTCATAGACGATTGAATTGAAAGGTATGCTTGTGCTTTGCGATTATTTGGCTTTCACTTCCTCTTCTTCGTGCCGTTGATCATTCTTCTACGTTCCGATAGTACAATTCTAGCCTATCTTACATTTGCTTTTACGGGAGTTGCCTCCGGGAATTTTTCTTTTTCCACGAGAAATCAATAAAAACGGGTGCGCTCATTGGAGCATGCTTTATACTTTCTCTTATAAGCAAACAAGTGTCATGTCTCCGTATCTCAACCACGGTTTGAGATATCCAATTGTCTGTGCAGACTGACCTTTCAAAACGTCCTTGTCTCGCACTCTCTGCCACGTAATTTTGTCTTCGCTACCATACAGTCCACTATTCTATCTCGTCGACCTT